CATATTACATGAGCAAGAAAAAGAGAGTAGCAGCTGTGAAAAGTGAAGAAAATGGGTGAATTTTGTCAAAAATGAAGGTTTTCAGCTCATTACATATGTCAAATGACGTCAGATTAGGTTGGTAGATAGCTCATTCAACGCAAAAGAGTGGATTACATAATGTACAAACTTTAAATCAATAGTAGCAGAGTTTTATGTAAAAAGGTATAAGGCAAATAAGAAATTGGTGTGAATCTCGAATTTACAGTCACAAGTCAACATGTAACACTAAAAACCTTAACTTCACAACTCAATATCTTACTCATCACTCATCAGAAATAGGTCATATGGGGGTGATAAATGATCAGTAACACGAGGGCTACAAGATGCACTCTAGTAATCAAAAATTGGACCTCATCTGAAAAAATTTGTAATCTCAAAATTCGGTTTTCAGCTAGTTTACAAGGAAAAAATCACCTGTATTCATCATAAGAAGTGCTGTACATCATATTATTGTGTCATTGATCACTTTTAGCCGTGAAAATTACATCAATTATTAGTAACAAAATCATTACATTGCGTCATGATAGGGTTTTTAGGGATTTTTGGGTGGATTTGATTGGTTTTGAGGCTGTTGACCATTGTAAAAGTTGGAGTACATTGTTATATATACTTTGAGATGATTCTGGGACTGTTGTTCCCCTTTTTTCTTTATCATTTACGCAGTTATTATTTTGTTTATCATCATAAACTTATTTTAATAGTATCTGGTCACTCAAATACGCCCTTTATTATAGCTATAAAGAGAAATTTACTTTAGTTTTATAGTCAAAAAGACTTATTGGGAATAATATCATAAAGATATTGCTTATTTTCTTCAGTTATCATTTGGGAATAACACTATAGCAGTGCTGATAGTAATAAAAATTGTGCTTTTGAAGTTAAAATACATGTGAAAGTTATATTCCTCTGGTGCCTTATCTGTACTCAATACAACAGCGCCTTTTCCTGATTGTGTTCTTTTAGAAGAGCAGTCTCAGACAACTTCTACTAGTCATTATATTAGTAGATTATCCTCTTCCAGCTCTGTATAACCCTTGTTGGGTTGTAAGTTCTACAGCGGTGCGGTCAGAAAAACCGCAACGCAAGCGCAGCGCAGCACACAATGTCTGCATTGCTGGCCCAGGGTTGCTAGAAATAAAGATACTTATGCTTTTAGTTTGTAAGACAAGTTTTAAAGGTTTACAGTTGCAGCATATAAAGTTCATTTTTTGGAATGGTCAATCATGAAGTATGATAATCTAATTGAAGCTGTTTGATGAGTTGTTGAAAAATATGGACTGGGTCTTTTAGAATGGTCAAGATCATCAGGTATGAAGATATGATTGTAGGTGTTTGACAAGACATTGGATTAATATCAAGCAAGAAAGTCCAATATCACACTATACCTTTCTGAATCTGTTTGGATGTAAAAAGGAGATGTGATTTTCTAGTACTACAAATGGTGCAATCAAATGGGTGTAGAATTCAATTTGAGCTGGCTCATCTGGTATTTCACACACATGTTTTTTTACACTCATTACCTGGTGGAAAGAAGGCGTATTGAATATTAGATATGACTGGGCTCAGCATGAAATTCTCCAACCTATAAAAAAGGTGAAAAATTATACATGAACCCCCCAGCTTATGCAATTTTTCACCCACCAGTTTTTTGCAACACAAAACGGGTGGAAAGATATAGGTCCCCATTTTATAAGAGAGACTGATTGATTCAAGATCTTGATGACCCAAGCCTGGGCCTACTTTATGTTTGAACATCAAGATGTATTTAGGGGATACAAAGTTCAAACTGGGGTTTTTTTGCCAGTTTCCCAGTTTGCCAAATACTGCCAAAAACGCAAACTGAGAAGCTGGGAGAACATGGGAAAGTTCCAAACACAGCCAAAAACGAAAACTGGGAAACTGGGAAAAAAATCCCACTTTTAACTTTGTATCCCACAATTGTAACCAATCCATGCACCACACTTGAACTGAGTGAGTAATCTTACATTCAGTTCTTTGACTGTACCAACAAACTTATGATCAGCTGCAGTTCTTCTTAAAGATAAACATCACCCAAGCCTATCTCAAGATTAGGTTGAGTGACACATTTTGTAGAACAAAGCCTATGTTATTAACTCTGGGCTGGACATCCTGAGAAGAACAAATGGTTTATTGTCTATGTGTATCTTGAAACATTCTGCTATGTACTAGTGAAATATTGTGCATGATAGGTTACCCTTTCCTTGTAGGAAGAATTTTTCCAGAAGGATCCATCCATATCTCAAAGGGATATTACAATTCAAAAACAATAAGATTAGAAGGTGTACAAGATAAAAGACAATGGTAGGGTATAGATCACTCAAGAGTGTTTTTTTGTTGGTGAAGTTCCTTCAAGGCAAGCAATGAAAGTAAGGGTAGTGATCAAAATCTTGGGAATGATCATCATCTTGATGATCTTGATCAACTCAATACCTTCCATTTTCCCCTTTCATGTCTCTTCCTCAAAACCACACACATCTAACCCAATTCAACCTGATTTCAAAATTCTAAACATTTCTATGCCTAAGTTAGGGCCCATTCACTTAACCAATTTCCGGTGAGAAATCACATTCTACAAAATTTAAAGTGTCTATTTGGTGGTACATGTTTCATTTATGCATTAAAAAATTTACAGAATGTGATTTCTGGTCAAAAATTCCTCAAGTGAACTAATCTTTGATTTATTTTGATGTTTACAATTCCAATTCCAATTCCAAAAATCATATATGTATCAAATCCATCAAATCCAAAACTTTTTTCTTCTTGATCAATTCTTAATCACATCTTACAAAACCCCAAAACCAATAAAAATACATATCAAATTCCAAAATTCCAAGATCTAATCAAATCCAATTCATCAATGTTTGATAATCTTATTTCTAAGGTAATTTAAAATACCAATCCCAACGATAAACCAATCCCGATCTTCTCCAAGCCTCCAAAACTCTAAACTTAACCATCGGAAACCTAACCCCCCACAAAAAAAACAAATCTCATCAATTTCTCCTCAAAAAAAGAACCTTCACAACTTTAAAATTTAGAAATCATTTATAAGACATTCTTACCATTCAATTGATTTAAGCCAATGTAAAGCTACTGTATCTGAATCGATTTCAAGTTGATTCCAATCTCCCATTCTCCAACCCAAATCGATTCTCATCAACCGATCCACTCGATCATCTAGATCACTTAACCAAGCTCCTACTCTTGCATCTTCAATTCCAACTTGAGATTCATATGACATATTAGATGTACCAATCCATTCCACCTTAAACCCCCCCCAAAGAACATCCATCATCCATCAGTTTTTCAGGGTTGGGTTGTGGTGAGATAAAATGAAACTTACTAGTGGCCAACTTAGGGCATAAGCTAAACCTCTAAAGTATGCTGGAAATAATGGATTCGATCCTTGACTAGTACCCCAATATATATTCGAACCACAATCCAAGTTTTGAAACTCTTTAATCAAATTAGGAATGACTAAAAAAGTCTAACCGCTCAAAAAAAAGAAGAAAAAAACACGAATAAGTTGAGAAATGAAAAGGTTTAGTAAATAGGCATGAATTTTGTGAGAGTGAGAAAGAAACCTTACATCATCATCCGATTTCATCACGAACTGAGGTCTACCAATCTCTTTAATCCTAGGATCTCGATTCTCTAGTCCGATCTCACGATCCAATACTCTATCCATTTTCCAACGACCATTAGCACCCATTGAAACCCAACGAAAAAACTCATACGTCTTTCCCAAATCGATATTATCCTTTTCAAGATTCTCAAGAACGATCACATCATTTCCATACCGTTTGTTTTCTTCTTCAATTAAATAATTCCAATACTCATTCTTAGGTTTACCTGAAATGAAAACTAAATCGATGATCGGTGCTTGATGATTGGAAGAAGAAGAAGAAGAAGGTGGTAAGTCAGCTTTGAGTAATGTTCTGATTAGGTTTCGTTTGGAGTATCGATCTGGTGTTGTAAAGATTCCAATAAACAATAAACTACAATCTTTTTGTAACTTCGCATCACATTTAAACCTAGAAACCGGTCTGTTCGATCTCAATCCTTGATCTCCTTTATACCACAGATACTCCGATAGATTTGATGGATGGTTTTTCGTCAATGAAGGATCAAGTTGATCTGCATGAGTTTCTTCTAATGGATCATAATGAATAGGTATACTCTTATTCTTTAATTCTTTAGATGCTTTGGTGATATTTCGATGAATAGCATGTAAGATTCTTAAATTATAATTTGATAATCTTTCTTGGTTTTGTAATTCGATCGAAACACTTGATTTAGTCTTGGTTTGAATGTTTTTGGTTTTTTGATATGGATCACCGATTGGTTTGATTTGAAATGTGATAGGATCTATGATTGGATCTAATTGTAAATGATTAGGTTGATCTAATGTCCAACTGATCAAATTATAGATAATCAAAATACTACTGATGATGATGATAATGAGTTTTGATAATCTTTGGTTATTGGATGGTTTGAATCTAGTTGGATGGTTTGGATCTGGTAATAAAGGTTGATGGTTTGATTTGAATTGGTTTTTGATTTGATTAGGTATCAGTTTACTTAGTTTCTTCTTTAATGGTTCTTGTTCTTGTTCTTGTTGTAATAATCTTCTTTGATCTTGATTGTGATTGGTATGATTCATGTGAACTTTAGCTTCTTGTTCTCTTTGATTGACTCAATGGTTTTCTCTTGAGGTTCTCTCGTTGAATTGTGTTTGGGTGAATGTTTTGCTGAGCTGAAGTTGGTTAGAATTCAATTCCCGTTCCTGTGGACCAGTCATGAGCAGGGTGAAGCGGCCCTGAGGACAAACCGCGAAACCCGAATAGGCGTCCACAATTTTCAGAGCATTCACCCAGGTCTGACTGATCTTGTTGACCAAACTCATTCTCGAAACCATTCAATTTGCTAAATCAAGAATGGGAAAATGTAGTAAAGGTAAGTACTTTTCTATCAAGCAATCGAACCCATCCCATCCTATCACTAACATTAACATCATCCAACCAGATCAAAGAGATATATTCTATCGACTTTCGAAATCAGAAGGTTACAGAGCCAGATCAGCATACAAACTAATCCATCTAGACCAACACTATCATCTCTTCAACAATCCAAACCAACCCATCAAAACAGTCGTCGATCTATGTGCTGCTCCTGGTTCTTGGTCTCAAGTTTTGGTCAACAAACTTGGGTAAACCTCTTGACTTCTAAATCTTCAAACCACAAAACTCTTAAAATCCTAAAACCTCTCTTGATTTCTCTTTTTAACTTTATATTTAGTCATCATCCTGAACTTCATGATGAATTACCTAAAATCGTGGCTGTCGATTTACAACCTATGGCTCCTTTATCTGGTGTACATCAATTAATGGGTGATATCACTCAAATCGAAACTGCTCAAGCTATCATGTCTTATTTCAATGGTCAAAAAACTGATTTGGTCGTATGTGATGGTGCACCTGATGGTAAGCTTTCAATCAAAAAAATTTCCTCATCAACTTTCTTACCAAGATTGGTTTTCTTACTTTCGATTTCAATAGTCACTGGTTTACACGATTTAGATGAATTCGTTCAAGCACAATTATTACTTGCAGTAAGCTCGCAAAGAAAACCCCATTGAACACCCATTTCAGACGTCTCTTTCCAATCACAATGATTGATTTTTCATTCTTTCCGATCATAAAGGCACTCAATATCACGTTATCTTTATTAAGAGAAGGAGGAAGTTTTGTTGCCAAGATCTTCAAAGGAAGAGATGTAGGCTTATTATTATCACAATTAGATTGTTTCTTTGAAGAAGTCTCAACTTTCAAACCCAAAAGTTCAAGAGATTCAAGTATAGGTAAATCGACCAACCCATTTTGATTTCTTACCATTCATTCCTAAACGATCAAGTTGTTTCTAACCAACATTGGATTTCTCAAAGAATCATTTGTGATTTGTAGAAATTATAAACCACCGATTGGGTTTATACCAGATATGAATCAACCTTTTTCAGAACACCCTTCGATTCATTCTTCATCAACCGAAACCTCTTCTCAATCGATTCATTTAAAACAAATCCTTCAGTTTGTGGCTTGTGGTGATTTATCTGCTTATGATCCAATCGAAAATCCAACTACTTCATCCATCAACAACTCAACAAATCATTCAACTCAACTTACTTCATCTGAACTTGGCTCTGAAACTTTGATCTCTAAATTAACCATTTGATTTCATATAGTTAGGAGAAGCTTTTCATGGGATTTAGTGGATGTTTTTCAAGGAATTTTCATTTTGGATTACGTTGATTTACTTTTCTTAAGACCTCATCAAGCTTCATAGACCTCTTTTGTACAAACGTAATCAGATCCAACACATGCTGACATATGTTAAAAATAGGATGTAGAACAATCTTGGATGATCAACCCGATCAGTTTAATGAGTTGACTAGCCAATGGGTGAGATCAGTTAAAGCTCGAGTTGAGAGATCTGAGCTTGGTGTGAGTTGGCAAACAAGTTCATAAACCTTTAATGTAATCCACAGCTCAAATCCAATAACATCTAAATCCGATATAGAAATCGAAACAAAAACTTTCTTGATTGAAAATCATGCAAATAGATCAAAAGCCTTCAAACCATCACAAGTTGAATGAATTCAATCATTTTTTCCATTGAGTTTAATGAGATGGTTTAGAACCTAATCCAAAGCGACCAAAAAACCCAATCAAGTTGGATCATCAGAACCGTCGTTCTTATCAAACTTTTTTGAAAATCTGATGTATGATTTACTACTAACCATCTACACGTAAATTACGAGTAGCCGAAGGTAAAGTCACAGTAGTTCCATCCATCTCTTTCGAAAGTTTAACCTGACATCCAAGTCTAGACCTAAAATCAAAAAAAAGACACACTCAAAACTATCAATTCAAGGTCTTGGGGGGGTAAGAGGAAAAAGGAGGAAACTTAACGTATCAGTTAAACCGAAAGCTAAATCTAACATATCTTCTTCATCTTCTGATGGTTCTGGTAATTGGTTATACACTTCTGGTGTAAAGATACAATGACAAGTTGAACAAGCAATTGATTTTTCACATGCAGCTATTCACCCCAAACCCCCCACCCAAAAAAAAAGAAAAGAATTAAGTGTTTGTTTTTCCGATTGATTGAAATGTTTTTGTTTGGATTGGGAGGGATTGGGGAGGATGAATTACCTTCGATATCTAAATCCCATTCCCAAGATAAATCTACCATATCATCACCTACATTCCCTTCTACTTCTCTAATCAATTCTCCTTTATGATTTTTAAAAAACACTTTAATCCTAAAAGTAGTTTTTACATTTTTCATCCAATCCAAAATGAAAACGAAGGGAAAAAAACATTTTTTTATTAGATCTTTAGGGTTCAGGGTTGAGCTGTTAAACTTACGGATTTGTAAGTACACTCTACACACACCCAGTTCCTTTCTCTGGTCTACCTTTTCCTCCATGTTGAAAACCTAAAACCACAAAAAAATGAATCAGTTTCAATCGAGCTTTTGTTTTCCAAAAGATTGATTTTTTAAAAAGTGATGACTTACTAGAAGTAGAACCAAAGAATCGATTAAAAGAATTAAAAGTTGTTGAAATATTCAAAAATTCACGACGGTTTAGGTTCGGTCGTGCTTGAAAGGTTAAGGGTTTGGTTAAGGATTTGATCGGGATTTGTCGCCAACTCATTTTGGATGATGGGTTTTACTTTGAAGGAATTGTAACTTGGTTCGAAGTTATTCTTGGTGAAGTTCGGAAAAGGATTTTTGACTGGAAAACAACTTCCTGCTGAGCAAATTCTTGGTACCGGCCACTGCCAGCTAGAGCCAAGCACCCGGGCTCGGATACGAACGGCTGACCCGGAAATGACCGGGTACACGGGGCGAAGTCAACGGGTCCACTCTCCACATTGCACACAGCACAACAGACCGTTGAAAAGCTTGCAAGACCTTGAAACAAAACCAAAAGGAAAGATTGTACAATATCTTTCCAACAAAAATCTATAACCTTCTACAAAAAATTGACCAATGATTTCCAGAGAAATAAGTCCCATACATGCATCAGTTGGAGACATTGACAACCTCTTTGGATCTCTTTGCAAGCTTTCTTGGTCTGTACATGGTGGGTCTTGAGAATTCTAAGCCTTTCAAATATACTTATGGGGTTCAGGACCCACAGGGACTCTGGAAGTGGAGGTGATCAGAGCTTCATGAGCTGGGTAGCTTGATCCTTTAGTGAGATTGATATGATTGCTATGTTTTTGATTAGTGTGAGAACCAAGAGACAAATTTGAGGAACCAAGCTGAAGCTCTAATCAAGTACACCTGCAGAGTTCCTGCATATCCTGCAATCTGTGAGCATAGGCACAAAGCTTCAAGATTTTATGATCCATCATGTAAGCCAATAAACCTTGCACCAAGCAACAACAAGGATCCAAATAGGTTGTAAATGTCTCCAACTATTGGACATGGGCCTTCTTCATGGAAATCACTGTTGGAGTTACGTTTGTGCTTTCAAAGTCTATGTGTAACAATGTTTTTCTCTTTTAGTGCATTTCATAATTGACATTACATCATTTGTACGAATGCGGTTTTATTACGTCATATACGTCATTGTTCATTTCACAACGATTGTTCATGCTTTTCTATTTAACCTGTGCTCCAACAACAGTCTAATGTTTTTCTTCATCTGACTGTTTCTTCAAAACCAAATCTTATTATAAGATTATTAGCGTTGTTTCTTTTTCTTTACTTATACTAAGATTTGTTTTTGTTTGGTTTCAGGTAATGAAAAGTTTGATCTGACTGTTTCTTCAAAACCAAATCTTATTATAAGATTATTAGCGTTGTTTCTTTTTCTTTACTTATACTAAGATTTGTTTTTGTTTGGTTTCAGACCAACAGGTTATGAGCGCCTACCGAATCTCGTTCAAACTCGATATCGATTAATTTTTTTCTCTAATCTTCGTATTTCGAGTCATTCAATAATGGCATCTATGTCTGCCGCACCAGATTCCTCCAAAGATCCTTCCAAAGGAAAGGAAGTCGCACCGGCTAAACCAAAGGAACCTTCCACTCCTCCTACGAACTTCGATGATCTGTTTTCGGTCGGTTCGAAGTGGGGACCTTTGGCTCTACCTACTTCATCTGTAGTAGGTTTGACCGTTTTGGAACCTCCGGGCGATAATTCCAACTATGCGAACTGGGAACTGGCGATGTCTGGCTCAATCATTGGAGCAGGTATGGCTCATATATTAAATCCTAAGCTGAGAGATGTGGAACAACCGAATTTCCACTGGACTCAGCAAAACAACGCCATATGTTCTGTTCTTTTACGCTATGCTCATTCCAAAAACTATTCCGTCATGAGGCCTCATATGGGCAACGCATTTGCCATGTGGCAAGCACTGTCTGACTCTCATAACGACGCTTCGATGGGATCGAAAATGTTAGTTCTGCGCTGTTTAATTTCATGCCAAATGGTGGACGATGACATCGATCACCTGTGTCCACCTGATGACTCGGACACTATCCGAAGAAGAAAGAAGCTGTATGTACGGAGAGTGTCCGAAACGCCCCTGTGTAGCCGAGTAGCCGGAGAGCTGCAGCTCTCGCAGTTTTTTTTTCTCTAAGTCCCATTTCATCATATACCCCCCTACCCACTTCACCAGCTCACCACCACGTACCACCGCTTCGACTAAGTGCCTAGCCCACCACCTCACCAGCAACCTCACCACCCAAAGAAAACTCACCACCTCACCGGTAATCTCACCACCTAAACAGAAACCCACTACCTCACCAGCAACCTCACCACCTAAACAGAAACCCACCACCTCTCGACACACCTCACCACCTAAACAAAAACTCACCACCTAAACGAAAACTCACCACCTAAACAAAAACTCACCACCTAAACAAAAACTCACCACCTAAACGAAAACTCACCACCTCTTGACAAACATCACCAGCCCATCATTAACCTCACCAGCTGTAGTATAAGACAATACGTACCTTCCACATCACCACCCGATTTCGTATCTCCCTGCTCAACAACTCAAGCCCTTCCAGGCTCCACCATCACCCAAATCGACTCTTTGGCATTCAACACCCTTGATATACGTCAAATGCCGTCAGCTCAGAAGCGTTTGAAGAAGGCCACAGGCACCCAAACAAGACCTCGGCGATCTCGTCGTCAGCGTCGCGACCAGGAATCTCCAGGTGAGTTTTAACAGAACTGAATCTTCACCACCAAAACTTCAAAACGACTCACACTATCATCATACTTTTATGAACGTGTTCACAGACCATAGCACCGATAGAGAAGATGAAGATACTTCTGAAGACAGCAATGAAGGGGATGATACCGATGAAGACGACCAGCAAGACAAAGAAGACCTCACTGTCGCCAACGTCGTACTTCCCACTTTAGCAAACTATGCAACTTTAGGTGTCGATTGTACTGATGCTTATTTAGAAAAAGTACTTGCCAGCCGCAAGATTGGCTCAAACAACCGGCCTTCAGCCGAGATCCTCCTGGAAGCTCAAGCTCTACAGGACAACTTCCAACGTTCACTCAAGATGCTGAGTCTGGCTGGACAGATCAGCTATCCCACCTTGAAGGCAGCTCTGTAAGTCGTTTGTCAAGCCATCCACATGAATAACTCAAGACCTTATATTCATAATCATTTGTCTAGGTTCCTTGGACCTAGCCAACGCGCTACCACATCGTATGATACCTACCGAGCATACAGTAAGAAGAACACACAAGAAACAGCTAGTAAGGTTATCTACCTCAATTCCATATGCTACAAATCATGACTAACCCAATGATGTTACCAGTGCCAGCTCGCAACACCCGTCCCGGCTTCGCACCACGAAACAAAGTCATTGGGAATACATGGACCAATCTCAATATTCGACAAAAAGCAATATTCAATCCGCCGTTTTTCAAACGATTGGCCGAGGCCGTATTAGAGCCGGATAGTGTTCCTCGTTCAACAGAAGAGAGTTCACAAGAAGATCTCGATGAAGACCCCCTCAACCCCTCCAATATAACTTCCTATGTCCCTATATTCTGAGAGCTAGTCAATATGAATAAGGTAAAACGCCACTTTGAACGTCAATCTCTTGGCATGCCACAGAGTGCACAGAGTGAAAAAAAAGGTCGTCTTGAGGTTAGCGGTGTGGTCAAACAAGTAAGCTAATGACTGGTCATTTGCTGAAGATCTCCGTCACTAACCTTCATATGAAGCTTCATGCGCTGCACACTCAGTTTGACATCGAATTCCATCTGCTTGTCTCCTCTTTCAACCCACGGACAAAACTCGCCAAAGCTCTCTGGATGGACGAATACACGTCATGTGATCGATGGGCACAGTTGGTCCAATCTGAGCATCATCTACTCGAAAATTTTGCCAAGGAGGCCACTCAATGCCCACGGGATGTTTTCACAAAAAAAAAGAGACAAAAATCAGACCTCCTGCTGCCAAGGAGCAAACCCGATTGCGCACTGAGCTAACCTCGCGTCTCAACCAGTTGGTTGGTCAGTAGAGTTTTCTTTAAGTTTTTTTCAAACAAAATGACTGACTGATGCATCTCCTCTTGATAATTCAGAAACCCAACTTCCTTACCCACCCCGACCAGGAGTTGATATTCACCCTAAAGGGCCAAGATGCGACTTGTTATTAGCAGCAAAGAAATTTCTTCAAGGAGTACGGCTCCAGGTTCATTGCACTCAAGACTGCCAAATCACCGATGCAATGCTCGAGAAAGGCGCTGCACCAGGGAACATGAGTGTTCAACAGGTTCGACTATGGCTGAAAGAGATTGCCGATTTACGCTATACAGTCATCCTGGCAAGTCCACCCCAAGCCTCTGCCTCTGTGTGATAATCTCCCAATTTGTAATGAAGCCGCGCATTATAAATTTTTTTGTTTTACCGTGATATCTCAAAGCCACTGAAAACATACAATAAAATTTCTGTTACCTGTTATACAATCGAAAGACCGTTTCATTTTTGTCAAATCTTGTTTTCCTCCTTTTATACTGATACATAGTAGGTCATTCACTTAGTCATTTCAAATTGAAATCATACTATACAGCTGAAGAAGTATACAAACTGTTTGAAGATATGGGTCAAACACCGTGAGGAGTAAGCAAATTCGAGATTTCAGGCTTGAGTCAAGCGCTGGAAAGCCTCGGGGCAAGTAGAGCCACGACCCGAGGCTAAGCCACAAGTCGAGGCTGCATGGAAGCGCTTCAAGCAGCCTCGACTTGACCTAATAGCCAGCAGGTTACCTCTGTGGATTAAAGACGCTGCCGTAGTGAAGGACTACCGTGAGGCGGGGCG